AAGTTGTGGTGGTCCAAAGCGGATTTCCGGTTTAAAGCGGTATGAAAGGAGTGCAGACACCATGGAACCCAACAGAGGGGATTTCAACAGCTTTCCCATGCCCAACAGAGGGGATTTCGACATGAGAGGAGCGCAGACAAATAAAACCCAGGAGTTGCTTTGGAGAAAGCGGTTTTTGTCTCCAGGACGGCTCACCATCCCTTTCCGAGGCGCGGGGTGCTCAAAGTGAAGGCAACGCCACCGAGACCTCAGCTGGGTGAGAGAGCCATCTGAGATCCGTGCAAACCAAATGAATCGGCCAAAGGGCTGAACCCACAACTCGTGGATGGGAAACAGCGGGAACATCCATGGGTCCGATCTGAAGCTCGCGAAACCAATTGGAACTCTGCAAAGTGCTGCTGTCAAGCACACAGCTCAATTGGCATTCAGGAATAGTCTCTGGTTGTTATGAATGCCTTTAAGCAGCGAGTTCTTTTGTCAAACATCAGATTGACCATCGGAGTCTGCGGTACATGGCACAATGAAGGTGTGAATGCGTTGCTGCAATCAGCGTGGCTAATGGTCTGGACAACGTGCTTGGCAGGCGTAGCTTTTCATGTTTGACTCGGTGACGGCCTCGCAGCCTGACTGTTCGAAGGCCACCTGATGCTTGACCAAAATAGTTCATGCGGAGCCGGTCGTCTCATTCGACTCGACCAGGTCTCTTCGCAAAATACACTCCAAGGGCTCCTTTTGATTAACGAACCTCATCGGCCGCACCTCACCTTAATCTTATCCGCGTCTCTATTGTGGCTCAAATTATCTTCCATAAATACGGTGGCCTTGAGGGGTGGACCAACTGCCAGCACAGCACTGGTGCACATGAACCGCCTTCTAAATGATGTCCGCCAAAGTCTCTCTTCTTCAAATCCCAGCCTATTTATTTGCATTCAAAACTGGGCTGCCCTCAGATCACCTGCTAAAAGTTTTACTTTTAGTGGGTCAAACGGACACCAAAAAAAAACACCAAAAGTCTAAAGAGCTCAGGAACCGGCTGGCTGGGAGCCACCAAGAAAACAAAGCCACCAACGGGGTTCCGGAAACCCGCCCCCAGATCTCAGAGCCACAGCTGACAAGTGTTGAGCTCAGGGGCAATCGGCAAAGGCACCGGCCCACCAGCCCGGCTCCGCCAGGTAGTTTGCAGATCCTGGCGGATCTGGGCAGGTTCGCCCCGTTCCGGCGAAAGGGGCAACCGTTCCCACAAACGAGATATGGCTGTGGGTCAAACGCAAGTAGGTGGCAAATGGATGTTCATCTACCCCAAAATGGAGCTGGGTCAAAAATAGGGTAACCCCAAAATGGAACTGGGAAAATGGAAACATGGACTATCTGCGGTCCGATTGGTGTGATATTGACCCACACCCATATGGGGGGCCACAAACAAAATGCCCCCCGGAAAGTAAGGCACTTGATTTCATTGGCCCGTGATGTCAGTCCCGCGCACAAGAAACCGCCGCCCAAAAGGCTTTTTTCGATCCCGACCGCGTCCCCAGGATTTTCCAACTCAGGTCAGGCCTTCACCGTACCTCTTCCGCAAGGCCATGCCCCAAGCGTGGAGGAAACCAGATGCCTCGGAATGAGGGGAAAAGGGCCAGAACTGCGCCCAATCAGCTTCCGCCCCCAGAACGGGTCACCATCTTGTCAACCTCCCAAATCAGAGACTAGCTGTTCATCTCAGATTTTAGTTCATGGTTCCATTTACCAAGGTTCCATTTTGACCTACCCTATTTTTGACCCACAGCCATACCTTAAGCTGCTGGCCACGGCCCCCATAGGTGCAAAAAGCCGCAAGAGGTCGTGGCCTTCCTGAGCGCGAATCGAGAGCCAACGGCTCAAACCAAAAACGGAACTCCAAGAATGCGTTGCCCTGGGTGGAAACATGGACCAAGACCTGCGGTTTGCGCAACTGCTGTTTTTAATTTTGAGCCACAAGTGTGGACAAGCAAAGGATATACGGCGAACGTTGAATGCGCGTTGAGTGGCCAGTGTGCTCGAGCTTGACATCACAGTACTTCCCAACGCATGCCGGAGGATCGTAGCATGCTCCTCACGCAAAAAACTGTCTCAGCTGCTACAAGCACACAGTGGGAAGCCGTGGCTTGGTTGGTAAAGAAAAGGCTTGGAGATGTAGCATGCCCTTGCTCCACATGCACTCTCCTCGCTGAAGACTGCATGAGCCTCTTCCCTCATCACATGATCAGTAGCGTGGTTGCGCTGCCCACATAGTCTTCACATCAGGCGCCTCGCAAGCACACAGAGAAGAAGCCTGATCGCCACGCTGCTGCTGCCCTCGATGAGTTTAGAGTTTAAAGCCTCACACAACAGCTGCAAGATGTGATAGCTGCTGCCAAGGCACCGAAAAAATGTATTTCGCAAAGCACGAACTTGAGCAAAAACATGTTCAACGTGGATTGCGCATTCATTAATGCAGACCCTTTAGTGGCCCAGAGGACAGTTACAAAGCTCCGCCAACATGGGGCTGTAATTGCGCACAAGCCTTTACGTGTCTAGAATGGCATGCAATCTGGAGTAGTCATGCACATCTGCCCTGCTCAGAGTGTGGATGCGCAAGAATCAGAATGTAATGGTACCCCTTTTTCCGGCAAGTTCAGCAGTTGCATTGGCGACCCTCTCGGTTTGGCCTGCTCAGCCTTTTAAAGGACTGGGCGAACTGATCAATCAGAGCTGCAAAAGGACTGACGTAATGTCGTCGCTGTACTTGCCTCCGTGTACCTGGCGCCACTTCTTCTTTGCCTCCTTATGCAGCAGCTGTACTGCCGTGGCGGGCCCGGCTTGCGCGATCTGGTCGGCAGCAGCCTTCACGACGGACTTAGAGTCCAAGAACTCCCAAAGACCATCGCTAGCCAGGAGGACAAATGGCTTTCTTGACGGGTCTACCATTGTGTGCGCCACCTCAGGGACGGCACAAACACCATGGCTCTTCAGGCTCTGGTCACCCAGCGTGCGGGCCACTGAAAGGCCGTAGGTTGCACCCTTGCTGAAAATGCGGTGAGTCGCACGACCGTCCGGGTGAATCTCTGACACCACCTGTCCCCCCATAGCTTCCACGCGCGCTCGCTCCTTTGCGCACTGCGGCGTGTGGTCTTTTGTGGCGAAGGTCAGCTTCCTGTCCAGTACAGATCCAATGGCAGCGCGGGAATCTCCCAGGTTCGCCGTCCAAATGTTGTGGCCTTTCACTAGGGCCACCACGGCCGTAGTGCCACTGGTGCCCACATCCCACACATGTTGTGCCGAATGCGCTACGAGGTCGTTTTCAGCCTTTTGAAAGGCATGCAGCATCGCCTCCTCCATGCCCGCTTCGTTGATGGCGCCGTGAGAAATTCCTGTCTCGGTGGCAATGAAGAAAGGCATGGTTTGGGCTGCACGGGCTGCAGCAATGTGCCCGTGCTTGCCATGTCCATCACAGGCGCAGATCAGTGTGTGCCCGGTTTGAAAATGCGTTACTGAAAAATTATCCTGGTTCGGCGACGTGTCCATCTTCTGTTTGTTGCCCTTCTCGCAAAGAATCGTTGGCAGCAGGTTGGAAGGGATCGTCCCAAAACAGGCACATTCGCGCAGCTGTCCGGGGGTCTCCAACGGGGCGCTGAGGCCATGAATATGGCCCACAACCCTTGTCATCAGTGCATCCAGCTCGTCTTGCCCGACGGCGCGGACATGGTGGTCAAGTGCGTCTTTCTCATCACAGTCGCCCGGCGCCCGTCCCAAGAGCCGGGGCCAAGCGTTTTGCGCCAGATGCTTCGGCCCCACCATTGAGGAGTGGTTGTATTGTAAGGATACTTCCCATGGGCCGTCCGAATCAGCTGGAATCCTCAGAGATCGATTCTGCAGATCTTCCCATTCGTCGCGGCTGGGCCGCGCGATGACGAGCTTGAACTCGACTTCTACCGGTGCATCCATGGTCACCAGGCCGGTCCATAATGGGAAGGCATCGGCGGAGGTCTGCAAAACCAGGCCTCTGCCAGTGTCCCAGCCCCCCAATTCTCTGCAGGAGCCCACGACCTTCAGTTCGTCCCCAACAACAGTCTCCGAGCAAACGGCCCGGAATCTGATCTCCTGACGTCTCGACGTCTTTCGCTGCTCCGAGGCCTGACACCGAAGCGCGGAACGGATTCCTTTCATTTCCCCGATTAAGCGGCTTGGCCCAGGTGAACACATCAAACTGAACTGAGGAACCCGCCAAAAGCGCGCTCGCGGGCGCACCTCATGACCTGAGCCCCGCCTTCAGCCGCTGCAGCTGCTCCAAGATCTCGTCGAGGTGGTGCTTGGCCTTCTCTGCACTTTGCACGAGTTCCGCCAGCTCCTGCAATCGGCGTCGACCTTTTTGTTCGCGCAAAGGACAGGCCGCGAGCTTTGCACGGATGGTTTCCTCTCGCTCTTTCTCTCTCTTTCTTGCTCTGCCTCTCAGTCTCTCCAACTCGCTGCCTCTCTCTCTCTCTTTCTTTGCCCTTCTCTCTCGCTCTCTCTCTCTGTCTCTCTCTGGCTCTGTCTCTCTCTCGCTCTCTCTCTCTCTCTTTCTCTGCCTCTCATTCTCTCCGACTCGCTGCCTCTCTCTCTCTCTCTTTCTTTGCCCTTCTCTCGCTCTCTCTCTCTCTCTCTCTGGCTCTGTCTCTCTCTCTCTCTCTCTTTCTCTGCCTCTCACTCTCTCCGACTCGCTGCCTCTCTCTCTCTCTCTCTTTCTTTGCCCTTCTCTCTCGCTCTCTCTCTCTCTGGCTCTCTCTCTCTCTCTCTTTCTCTGCCTCTAACTCTCTCCGACTCGCTGCCTCTCTCTCTCTCTTGCTTTGCCCTTCTCTCTCTGGCTCTCTCTCTCTCTCTCTCTCTCTCTCTCTCTCTGGCCCTCTCTCTCTCTCTCTCTCTCTCTTTCTCTGCCTCTCAATCTCTCCGACTCGCTGCCCCTCTCTCTCTCTCTCTTTCTTTTCCCTTCTCTCTCGCGCTCTCTCTCTCTCTCTCTGGCTCTCTCTCTCTCTCTCTCTCTCTGCATCTCGATGCCTCTCTCTCTCTTTGCATCTCGCTGCCTCTCTCTCTCTCTCTGCATCTCGCTGCTTCTCTTTCTCTTTTTCTCTTTCTCTTTCTCTTTCTCTTTCTCTTTCTCTTTCTCTTTCTCTTTCTCTCTCTCTCTCTCTCTGTTTCTCTCTCTGTCTTTCTTTCTCTGTCTTTCTCTCTCTGTCTCTCTCTTTCCATCTCTCCATGGCCACCGGAATAGGACTGAGCACTCTGCGGCTTGTTGCAAGTAAAATCGGGCACACAGGCAATTGAAGCATACCAAGCTGACTACTGGTCTACCAAAGAATGACAAAATTGTAAAAAGCGACGCGAATGCCCACAGCCCATAGCGCCTTGGATTCCAGGTGTTGTAGCCCCTGCAGCTGCTGCGCCAAGTGTGCGGTTCTGGCGCAGGCACTCCTCAGTCCGCTCAGCGTGGAAGCCCAATTCAGCCAAACATGGCCCCGGCCCAGAACCCGGAAGTTGGAACAAAACGAGTCTGGCGCTTGTGCAAAAAATGACGAGTTCGAGGCCAGTGGAGTAGCTTCTGAGAAAACACTACGCACAACACAATGCAAACCGCGGGGGCTGAGGCAAACTGCATACTGGCCAAGCATCTCAGCCACCTCTTTCAAAGATTCGCAGCTCGATGCCGCCGTTGCGCGCGTCTGAGCAGCAAGCTCGTCCTGGGTACCAAGTTGGTGACAGACCAACCGGAGTACTCGCAGTCCGGGAACATTTGGGTTTCATCGCCTCTATGCTCTCTGTCCGCAAAGGCCAACAGGCATTTCAACAGTTCAACAGATCCCGTAGGAGCTACAAACAATTCTTTTAGACTCCGCTTCAGAGAACAATCCAGAATCAAAACCTGATGTCAATAAGGTTTAAACTAAATGTGAAGAGAGTTCACGGGACACTTTTTTAACGGCAAGGGGACTGTCCAGTAACCTTCGATGCCCGGCTTTTGGTTCAGACAGAGTTTGAGTGACAAACAATCCGCGCAGATTGCAACCACTTGAAGCTCTGCTCACTTTGAATCAGCGCAAGCTCTGCTCTGCGCCTGCGCGTCGATGACAAGGACTTGCGGGGGTGCCACCGCATCAATCTCCGCCTTACTCTTCACTGCCTGGCAGTGATGAAGCAGGGCGGATGGGATGTTCGCTCAGCCCAATGAGAAGAATCTGGAAGCTTGCTTTGTTTGTCCACTGCCGGCAGCAAACACAGGAAGACAAACAAAAAGACACGTGAGGGAGGGCAACGGACTTGTTGCCTGGCCAAGACTTGCGAGGATCAAGCTCGAGCCCGGAGGCTTACACGTCTGAAAACTCCTCGGTCGGCGCCTGCGATAGCTCCACTTGGAGGCTGGCAGCTTGCACATTGGCCTTGCCTTCCAAAGACGGGCAGACGCATCCGACAAGGCGATACAAAACAAGACTCGGGTCGGGCCTGCCAGGAGCGTGTGCGCCTCCGCGTGTTGCTCAGCGTCAATGCGCGCCGGCCTTGGCCACTCGGCCGCACAACGTGAGGAATCAACATCCTAGATCCCCCGGTGCGGTTTTGCAACGCATGAAAATGGTCTATCCCAAAACCATCTGACGCTCCAAACAACCCGCAATGTGGCACCAATTCTGCAATACTCAGTTTGGTGCTTGGACAGCCTGTCATCCAGAAGACTGTCAACGGTCAGAAGGGCCATGATGCCTTGCAGCACCACATGTCCGGCGTGCTCGTAAGCGATCAAAGGGACGCTCATTTTCTACCAAACATCCCGGCTCAAGGGTTGATGGCAACCGACAATCCCAATCCAGGACAAACGTTTCGTGTCTCGTTTTTGAAAGTGGGCCCTTCATTTGCGTACCCAGCCTGAGCTTCTCAAACCTCTCAGATTGCGTGGCGCAATTGACAATGCTAACTGTTGAGCCAAGCAGAAGTTTGGCCCGAGTATCAAGTCACTGTTCCAGACTGCACCTGGCTCCTAGCTACTCTCCATCTGACAATTGAGAGCACAGCAAGAAGGACGCTTTGATCCCGGAACGCACTCATCACGGTGCTCTGCCAAAGCCACGCTGATGCTGGTGCGCTCCAAACCTTTACATGTTTTAAACAAAATTGCAGTGTTGACGCTTCCAACATGTGAGTACCCTGTCAAATCGGACAAAACATGTAGCCCCAATGCTCAATCGTAGACCTTGAGGGTTTCATGCCTTTCCACCACAACGTACTGTAAGCAGGTCTACCAACATGGCCTGAACAAACAAGTACAAGCATCACAAACAAGAGGAGCCCGGGAACCCAAAAGCAAACCAGCCTCACTCCCCTTGGCATGTGGATCCCGTCGTTTTCCGGCTCAAGGGTCCGAAGGCAAACCAAGATTTAAGTTGTTCACAGTTGGGAAATCAACCCCAAACCAGATGAAGAAGGGGAGCAACCGCGACTCAAGCCGGATTGGCAGCCAGCAGC